GCAAGAAAACAACAAAAGTCACAGAGGTTTCTGAGGGAGTTAGAAGGGAAAATAACAAAACACATTGGGATTTGGTGGGGAGTTGCAAGGAAAACAACTTAAATACACAGGGATTTCAGAGGGAGTTGCAAGAAAACAACAAAAGTCACAGAGGTTTCTGAGGGAGTTCGAAGGGAAAATAACAAAACACATGGGGATTTGGTGGGGAGTTGCGAGGAAAACAACTTAAATACACAGGGATTTCAGAGGGAGTTGCAAGGAAAAGGAACAAAAGGCACTGATTTCTGAAAGAGTTGCAAAGGGAAATAACAAAACACACAGGGATTTTAGAGGGAGTTGGTTGTATAGGGAAGGGGGAAGTGTAGATTAAGGATATGTAGGACAGCTTTGTGGTGGTAGGAGGGTAGATTAAGGATATGCATGACAGCTTTGTGGTGGTAGGAGGGTAGATTAAGGATATGCATGACAGCTTTGTGGTGGTAGGAGGGTAGATTAGGATATGTAGGACAGCTTTGTGGTGGTAGGAGGGTAGATTAAGGATATGTAGGACAGCTTTGTGGTGGTAGGAGGGTAGATTAAGGATATGCATGACAGCTTTGTGGTGGTAGGAGGGTAGATTAGGATATGTAGGACAGCTTTGTGGTGGTAGGAGGGTAGATTAAGGATATGTAGGACAGCTTTGTGGTGGTAGGAGGGTAGATTAAGGATATGCATGACAGCTTTGTGGTGGTAGGAGGGTAGATTAAGGATATGCATGACAGCTTTGTGGTGGTAGGAGGGTAGATTAGGATATGTAGGACAGCTTTGTGGTGGTAGGAGGGTAGATTAAGGATATGTAGGACAGCTTTGTGGTGGTAGGAGGGTAGATTAAGGATATGCATGACAGCTTTGTGGTGGTAGGAGGGTAGATTAGGATATGTAGGACAGCTTTGTGGTGGTAGGAGGGTAGATTAAGGATATGTAGGACAGCTTTGTGGTGGTAGGAGGGTAGATTAAGGATATGCATGACAGCTTTGTGGTGGTAGGAGGGTAGATTAGGATATGTAGGACAGTTTTGAGGTGGTAGGAGGGTAGATTAAGGATATGCATGACAGCTTTGTGGTGGTAGGAGGGTAGATTAAGGATATGCATGACAGCTTTGTGGTGGTAGGAGGGTAGATTAGGATATATAGGACAGCTTTGTGGTGGTAGGAGGGTAGATTAAGGATATGTAGGACAGCTTTGTGGTGGTAGGAGGGTAGACTAAGGATATATAGGACAGCTTTGTGGTGGTAGGAGGGTAGATTAAGGATATGTAGGACAGCTTTGTGGTGGTAGGAGGGTAGATTAAGGATATGTAGGACAGTTTTGAGGTGGTAGGAGGGTAGATTAAGGATATGTAGGACAGTTTTGAGGTGGTAGGAGGGTAGATTAAGGATATGTAGGACAGTTTTGAGGTGGTAGGAGGGTAGATTAAGGATATGTAGGACAGCTTTGTGGTGGTAGGAGGGTAGATTAAGGATATATAGGACAGCTTTGTGGTGTTAGCAGGGTAGATTAAGGATATGTAGGACAGCTTTGTGGTGTTAGCAGGGTAGATTAAGGATATGTAGGACAGCTTTGTGGTGGTAGGAGGGTAGATTAAGGATATGTATGACAGCTTTGTGGTGTTAGCAGGGTAGATTAAGGATATGTAGGACAGCTTTGTGGTGGTAGGGATATCATTGTTATTATTATTATTATTGATATTGCATTCTTAACGGCCTGTCAACACATAAAAGGTCAATAGGGCCATCAACCAGTAAAACACACAGCGAGTGGTGGTGGTAGGGAGGGGCTAGCATGTTTCAATGGTTTACTGTAAACATACATATTTTTACACAATCAAATTTATGCACAATATTAATTTATAACAAATAAGAGTAATAACAAATTCAGACATTTGCAATAATAATCAAGAACATACAGAAAGAGCAAATAACACTATCACAATTCATATCTGTAGTGCCAAAATAATCTTACCTCTAAAAATATATACACGTATAGTAAATGGAACAAAGTAAGGGTATGAAAGATATTAATGAAGATTAACAAAGAATCTGTACAAAAGGGTACGGAAGAAGTGAAAGAGTCCTGGTGGTTTAGAAACATTTTGCAAAGAGGTTGCATCGATGTCAAATCTATGGAAAGAAATCTTTTTAAAAATTGGAATTAAATTCTTGCTGATAATGATTAATGTCCTGTGTAACTAGTGGTAGTGTTATGTAAATAAGGAGGTTTATCGTATATACCCCTAGGATTGTGTAACAATCTAATTGACGTCAGTAGGCTTGGACCTTTGACTTTAACATTTATTTCCTTTTGTCATGGCCCGTGTGCTTCACATTTAACAGGGCTGTATAGATTTATTCATGACCCTAAATAACTTGCTTTTTTTTCACTAACCTGATCAGCTGTACCCTACATTCATGCTTTGATAAATAATATCCCCTGCACTCTCAAAAAATTAAAGCCCTTCGTACTGAAAAATTTACCTTGGCCCATGTATACAAGGGTACTCTATTATAACTTGTACAGATTTACTCTTACTTCACAAGGCTTATTGGATTATTGGTATTTATCAGTCCTTATAAGATATGTAAGGGTCAGTCAAATGGTCATCATGTACACATTTATAAGTTCTCTAAAAAGTTTATCTTCATGGATGCATAACGCACATTTCAGTTTTTTCTGCCAGAAACTCTGTTTTATATCATTAACAAATTTGTTTTATCATGGTGAAATTAAAGTTTCGAAATGCAGTAAAATATGACAAATATGTACATGACATAAACATATGTATATTTCCTGATGGAGCGTTTTTAATGCAAATTTGCTGCAAATTTTGTTTCTTCTGGTTACTTTTTTGTTCAAGAATATGTCAAAATTATGATTGGACAAGTCCCAGTGACTACAAAGTCAAATGTCTTAAACAGTGTTGAATGTTGTTACTTCTGTGTGTGGTAGGTAGGGCCAAAGAGATCAGGCAATATTTACGTTAGATCTTCAAAGAGTGTCTTAAAACATTTATATTGTTTATTTCAATACAGCCTTTGATGGAGGTATTGATTGTCCTTATCCATTTGAGTGCTTTTCATTTGCATGTGAAAGATTAAAGCTGTAGGTGAGGTGCAATATGATATGGGGGAAAAAGATCAAAAAATGAATAATTATATCTGTAGGAGAAACCTCACAGGGAAGTAACCTCCATTTTTTCAGGAGGAGAAACCTCACAGGGAAGTAACCTCCATTTTTTCAGGAGGAGAAACCGCACAGGGAAGTAACCTCCATTTTTTCAGGAGGAGAGGGCTCGTAGGAAAGTCTCCTTAATTATATCAGTAGGAGAAACCTCTTAGGGAAGCCACCTTGATTATATCAGTAGGAGAAACATCTTAGGGAAGCCACCTTGATTATATCAGTAGGAGAAACCTCTTAGGGAAGCCACCTTGATTATATCAGTAGGAGAAACCTCTTAGGGAAGCCACCTTGATTATATCAGTAGGAGAAACCTCTAAGGGAAGCCACCTTGATTATATCAGTAGGAGAAACATCTTAGGGAAGCCACCTTGATTATATCAGTAGGAGAAACATCTTAGGGAAGCCACCTTGATTATATCAGTAGGAGAAACCTCTTAGGGAAGCCACCTTGATTATATCAGTAGGAGAAACCTCTAAGGGAAGCCACCTTGATTATATCAGTAGGAGAAACCTCTTAGGGAAGCCACCTTGATTATATCAGTAGGAGAAACCTCTTAGGGAAGCCACCTTGATTATATCAGTAGGAGAAACCTCTTAGGGAAGCCACCTTGATTATATCAGTAGGAGAAACCTCTTAGGGAAGCCACCTTGATTATATCAGTAGGAGAAACCTCTTAGGGAAGCTACCTTGATTATATCAGTAGGAGAAACATCTTAGGGAAGTAACCTTGATTATATCAGTAGGAGAAACATCTTAGGGAAGCCACCTTGATTATATCAGTAGGAGAAACCTCTTAGAGAAGTCACCTCACAGGGAAGTAACCTCCATTTTTTCAGGAGGAGAAACCGCACAGGGAAGTAACCTCCATTTTTTCAGGAGGAGAGGGCTCGTAGGAAAGTCTCCTTAATTATATCAGTAGGAGAAACCTCTTAGGGAAGCCACCTTGATTATATCAGTAGGAGAAACCTCTTAGGGAAGCCACCTTGATTATATCAGTAGGAGAAACCTCTTAGGGAAGCCACCTTGATTATATCAGTAGGAGAAACCTCTTAGGGAAGCCACCTTGATTATATCAGTAGGAGAAACCTCTTAGGGAAGCCACCTTGATTTTATCAGTAGGAGAAACCTCTTAGGGAAGCCACCTTGATTATATCAGTAGGAGAAACCTCTTAGGGAAGCCACCTTGATTATATCAGTAGGAGAAACCTCTAAGGGAAGCCACCTTGATTATATCAGTAGGAGAAACATCTTAGGGAAGCCACCTTGATTATATCAGTAGGAGAAACCTCTTAGGGAAGCTACCTTGGTTATATCAGTAGGAGAAACCTCTTAGGAAAGTCTCCTCCATTCCATCAGGAGGAGTGTGCTCTAATGGAAATCACCATTATTATCACAGTTGGAAAGTCTTAGTAGAAGTAGAATACTCATGACCGTTTTAACTGTTGGGGAAATCTTTTTGGGAAGGCACCACTATTATAGCAGGAGAGTAAACCTCTTGGGGAAGTCACATCATTTATAACAGTAGGAGGGACTTCTTAGGGCAGTCACTGCTCTTTGGTTATAGATTTGATTTGCCATTACAGGACTTCATTTCCTCAATATTTTCATTTTAAGGAAGGTAAAATGAGGAGGCAGTATGCTTCGGTATTTCATTATGGTAATGATATTAATAAGAACTAATATGACACTCTTAATATGCTGTCTGGCTCATGACACTGAGTATTACCACCAGTTGATATCATTGTTTTGTCTCACAGTAAATATTTACCTTTGTATTTTTCAGATTGTATTGCTGTTGTTATGACTGCGATCTCTAATCCCAGACAAGATTTGGCAAGGACCTTGGTCTAGACAGACAACAGAACCATATGATAGGGAAGAACCCAATTTTGAAGATCTGCCAACTGTATGGAATCTGTGCCATCTTTGTGTTAGACAGGTGGTCATCTGCCCTTGGTTACTCCCTGCATACATGTAGACAGTTACTCTAGTGATGCTTTATAGGGAGGAAAAAGGCCAAGTTGGTGTCTTCATTTAGGAACCCACAGAGGGTCAAAAGAGGTATCCTTCACGGCATTGTGAACCCATTATAACAAGAGTAACAATGTTTTTGTCAACAGATCTGGAAGTCATCCCATGTAGATCGGGAACTGATCAATACATCTCACCGTCAGAAAGTCTGTTATTAAGTCAGGAGAGAAAATTGTTAACATTGTGTTTGATTGTGAGGGCCATGATAGTGTACATTATTGGAATGAACCCTGGTGCATGTGATATATCAGCTGTTCTACATGGGGTAGCCTGTGTTTAGAGTACATGGAATGCACACAACCTCTGATCACATGATTTATTGATCATCGCAGGGAAAATCTTTCTTGCTATGATCGCTTCTAAAATTATGGAATGTGTGAATGTTTTTGTAAAATTGATTTGTGTATCATTTGATTGCCTTGTTGATAGGGTTTGGAAAGTATGGAATGTATTACGGGCTGATTGTTACTAATGTAGATAGCATGGATCTAGCTGTGGTAAGACGTATGTGAGTTTTGTGTTCACGAGTATTGAGTGTATGTGGGGTATTGTTACAAAAGTACTTATTGACAAGAACAATATTGACTGGGTGACTAAGATTCCTATTCCCATGTTAATACTTTTGGCTATATATCAAATTAGAATAATAAACTTGTATGGAAGTGTTTTCTTCGTTTCTATTTTGTATAATTATCCCCAGCTGTCCAAGATATTACTGTATATTCTCGTCAGTCTGGCCTACTTATTCAACTGCTGGTCAACTTGCAGACAAGCTGTTAAAAATAGTTAATAGCCAATTTAAACCTTTTGCACATTTGCTTTTCCATTCATTTTTTTTCACATTATTTACCGTAAAATAAAAGTTTGTGGATTATGTTAAAAATATCTTACTTCTAAAAACTTGAAAACAAAATTTTGTGAAAATTTACACAAAAGACGAAAGTAAACTAAACTACCTATAATATGAGGAGCCTTGTCACTTGTGTGTGTATATAGGTATACCTGCTGCCATTCACCATTATCATAGAATTAAAACTATATATGATCCAGCATTTAACCTTCTACCGGTACAATATTCAGTCAATTAATGCAGGTGTTTGTAAGAGTGGAGTTTAATACATGTTATGATTAAGTTAATTGATGTGTTTTAAATCTCTCATGGTAATCATATTTATACCTGTGTTCCAGGACACAACACCAATTTAAGTAAGATTTTAAATTGTTCCTGTGTTTCAGGACATGAGACCAACTTCAACAAGATTTCAGGTCATACCTGTGTTCGCAGACACAAGACCAAATTATACAAGATTTTAGATAATACCTGTGTTCCTGGACACAAGACCAAATTAAACAAGATTTAGATAATACCTGTGTTCCAGGACACAAGACCAAATTAAACAAGATTTAGATAACATCTGTGTTCCAGGACACAAGACAAAATTAAACAAGATTTTAGGTTATACCTGTGTTCCTGGACATAAGACCAAATTAAACAAGATTTTAGGTTATACCTGTGTTCCTGGACATAAGACCAAATTATACAAGATTTTAGGTTATACCTGTGTTCCAGGACACAAGACCAAATTAAACAAGATTTTAGATAATACCTGTGTTCCTGGACATAAGACCAAATTAAACAAGATTTTAGATAATACCTGTGTTCCTGGACATAAGACCAAATTAAACAAGATTTTAGATAATACCTGTGTTCCTGGACATAAGACCAAATTAAACAAGATTTTAGATAATACCTGTGTTCCTGGACATAAGACCAAATTAAACAAGATTTTAGATTATATCTTAAATTAGAAATACTCTCTCAGATTTGCGTTACAGGATATTAAGATTAAAGATTAAATATCAGGTTTCCAAATTTTATCAAGGTTTGTTTTACAGGTAGTCTTCACTTTGTCAGTAAGGTTAAGCTTTGAAAATTGAGTTAAGAATGCTGTAATAAATTTACAATAGAGGTAAAGGACTATATATACAAGATATAATTTTAGCAGAACAAACTAGTGCTCAAAGTCTGATAAGTCTGTCCTATCATTGATATATCCTTATTACTGTTGATACTTGACAGAGTTGGTAAGGGAATGGATTATTATTAACACCTACGTTGGAGTTATGTGGACAAATTATCACAGATTGGTGTGATGGACATCAGTAGCATGTAAAAATAGTGATCCACTGAGGGGTTGGTTATTTTATTTTGACTGGCTTGTATGTTCATTTCATGTATCAAATAAATGTATATATGTGTACATTATCATGAACACTTCAGTCCCCTGCCACACATTTCATGACGGATATAGACATTTAAATGTAAGAAAATATTGAAGTACATTACTCATTGCTTTATCCCCTATGCATTAAGTCTACAAATATTTTGAGTCTGGCATATTTCTTTGATTCACTCAGAAATTTATCACTTGGTCAAATATTGGCTTATGTAATGTAGTGATCTACCGGTGGCTATGATATTCTGACAGCTGCATCAGGTCTTAATAAAGAAATTCCAGATAAAATTTTCAAGTTTAAATCCTTGTTGATGTAATGGCCATTAGATTCCACTTAGTACAAAAGTATTGAACACATCAGAAAGACCTGCCATTCACAAGGGGTCAGTAAATATGGCATATTTGAATAAGCAGACATTTTTAAAGATTTATGTAGTGTTAGACCCATATGTAAGTAAACGGGACCTGATCGGTAACCTCGTTGGGTACCTGTAATGTCTACACATAGGGTCACTCTCACCAAGGTCAGTCCTGTCGATGATAACACAATCTTTACACTAGGCTATATATGGCCTCCCCCACCACTGGCCTAGTTATGTCGCTGACTGGGTCAACATTATCAAAACCTACAAACATTTACATTGAATTCATCAGCTTGGCTGAAGTTAAACACTCTATTTATATACTAGTTTGAATGTTTATTATTAGTAAACTTTAGTCACTGAAACTTGTTTCAGATGGACTGCTTTTTAAGATAATCCCCTTTAACCTTACTGTCCATTCAGGCAGAGTAAAAACTAAATTGCCTTATATTCCAGGAATGGTGTAATTGTCTCGCATTATCAAAATAGCAAATCCAACAAATTGTCTATAGAATTGATCCTCTGTTTGTCTGACATTGTACCAAAATAGAATAGTTGGTTTTAGATTGTGGTTCGTCACAACTCTTTATGAAATTATAGACAAATCACAATGACATAAGGTAATGTGATTGATGACATATTTATGGTGAGTTTATGTACAGGCTTGTACAGATCTTGGACAGGGAGTTTATTGTTGTTGTTATCTTCTTATGTGCTTTTTTTCTATTATGTTTGTCTTGGCTTATTAAAGCAACATCTTAAAAAATACCATTATACTTGATCAATATGGGATGAACAGCTCCAAGATCCATCATCATTAGCGATCAGGAATTGCAGTCTTTATTGTGTACAGGTAAATACTGCCAGGCAAACCTTTCCTAGGTCAAGTGAGAACATATCAAGGTCAGATGATAATCTTAGAAGCATATGGGATATTGGTGCTGTCAGTCTTCAAAGAATAGTATAGGATTTTTTTTAACCAGCAAGGCAGTTAGTATTTAAAAGCCTTCCAGAAAAGAATTCAGTATCATACTATACAACCATTGAAAATTTTAAGTTATGTATAACTTACCACTCAGAACAGAAATCAATTGCTTAAATAACCCTTCAAGATAGGAAATAAGAATCTATTATATTACCCTGCTTAAGTCAGTGACTTAAACATAAAACTCAAAAATAGAAATTAAAAATCTAATCTTCCTAAACAGGAACTCATTGTCAAGGATATTACCCCTCCAAATGTGAAGTCAATGTATCTAAACCCGCCAAACAGGAAGTCAGTGCCTTAACATATAACCATTCCAAGTGTGAAGTCAGTGTCTGTTCTATAAGGAAGTCATACCCCTCCAAGTAGAAAGTAAATGTCTGAAATATAACCCCAGAGAAATCTGCAATACAAAGGATGATGGGAAGATGTACCACAAAGGATGATGGGAAGATGTACCACAAAGGATGATGGGAAGATGTACCACAAAGGGTGATGGATAGATGTACCACAAAGGGTGATGGGAAGATGTACCACAAAGGGTGATGGTTAGATGTACCACAAAGGGTGATGGGAAGATGTACCACAAAGGGTGATGGGAAGATGTACCACAAAGGGTGATGGGAAGATGTACCACAAGGGGTGATGGTTAGATGTACCACAAGGGGTGATGGGAAGATGTACCACAAAGGGTGATGGGAAGATGTACCACAAAGCGTAATGGCTAGATGTACCACAAGGGGTGGTGGGAAGATGTACCACAAAGGGTGATGGGAAGATGTACCACAAAAGGTAATGGTTAGATGTACCACAAGGAGTGATGGGAAGATGTACCACAAGGGGTGATGGTAAGATGTACCACAAAGTGTAATGGTTAGATGTACCACAAGGGGTGGTGGGAAGATGTACCACAAAGGGTTATGGTCAGATGTACCACAAAGGGTTATCAGAAGATGTACCACAAAGGGTGATGGTTAGATGTACCACAAAGGGTAATGGTTAGATGTACCACAAAGGGTGATCGGAAGATGTACCACAAAGGGTGATGGGAAGATGTACCACAAAGAGTAATGGACAGATGTACCACAAAGGGTGATGGGAAGACATACCACAAAGGGTGATGGGAAGATGTACCACAAAGGGTGATGGGAAGATGTAACACAAAGGGTGATAGGAAGATGTACCACAAGGGGTGATGGTTAGATGTACCACAAGGGGTGATGGGAAGATGTACCACAAAGGGTGATGGGAAGATGTACCACAAAGCGTAATGGCTAGATGTACCACAAGGGGTGGTGGGAAGATGTACCACAAAGGGTGATGGGAAGATGTACCACAAAAGGTAATGGTTAGATGTACCACAAGGAGTGATGGGAAGATGTACCACAAGGGGTGATGGTAAGATGTACCACAAAGTGTAATGGTTAGATGTACCACAAGGGGTGGTGGGAAGATGTACCACAAAGGGTTATGGTCAGATGTACCACAAAGGGTTATCAGAAGATGTACCACAAAGGGTGATGGTTAGATGTACCACAAAGGGTAATGGTTAGATGTACCACAAAGGGTGATCGGAAGATGTACCACAAAGGGTGATGGGAAGATGAACCACAAAGAGTAATGGACAGATGTACCACAAAGGGTGATGGGAAGACATACCACAAAGGGTGATGGGAAGATGTACCACAAAGGGTGATGGGAAGATGTAACACAAAGGGTGATAGGAAGATGTACCACAAGGGGTGATGGGAAGATGTACCACAAAGGGTGATGGGAAGATGTACCACAAAGGGTGATGGGAAGATGTACCACAAAGGGTGATGGGAAGATGTACCACAAAGCGTAATGGTTAGATGTACCACAAAGGGTGATGGGAAGATGTACCACAAAGGGTGATGGGAAGATGTACCACAAAGGGTAATGGTCAGATGTACCACAAAGGGTAATGGTTAGATGTACCACAAAGGGTGATGGGAAGACAAATCTACACATAAATCACTGGCCTATTTTCAATCTTTGCCTTTCATTATGCAAAAGGGATTTTGAGGGCATTTCTGCTGTACTGTTTCATATAGGAACATC